GTTGGGTTAATTTGCATATCGTGCTGATTAGCCCATGGGAGGCGTAGCGAAGGTATGGTCAATTACCATGTTTGTCTATTATTAGATAGGATACTTATTAAGCACTATACATAATATCTGTATAATTTTCTATTTCAATAAAACTCTGTTGAAAAAACTTCCTTATTTTGTGAGCATAAATGATGGATCATAGTGACTTAGTAGATCACTATCTTCTGATAAAATACAGCTGATTCAAATACAATTTTAAGATCTTGAATTTATTTTACACATACACTGTGGAAGGCCCTCTTCCAGGGAAGGCACTGGCTTTCTTTTAAATTCATGTCAACTGAATCCATGATGAAGGCAAAGCCTTATCTTGGGGGTATATCTAACCAAGAGATGGGAATGCCTCCGTTGACCTTCAAAGCCAGGTGCCGGAAAATGAGTTCTTATCTAAATCTAGTCAAGCACCAGGAATGAATTCGATTCGGACCCACCCAGAGGTGACTATTTACGAGGAAGCTACAAAAATGCACACATTCCCCCTTTTATTTACCCTTAGTAAAACTTCCTGGTATTTGGCTATAAATAAAAGTTGCTGTGCTGGCTCTGGGCCCTGTTCATCTATCAAAGAGCAGACGCCACACCCTGTCCCAGCTTTCCTCTATTTCTGTCTCAGTCTTGTTTTATTCAATTTTCTTTAAACTTCATCGAGTTCTATTCAAGATTTCATCAACCCCGGAGTTCTCTCTCTCTGCGTTGGTCGCAAGGAGAACGCCATCCCCCCATATCTGACGCCACGAACAGGGATCCCCATAACACACAACTATCCTGAAATCTGCATTGATTTGTCAAGATTTCTGAGAAATAATATACATCAAAGAATAAGATTAGTCTAATCTCATAAAATAGAAAAAAAACTACAAGATGAAGTTCTTTCCAACATTACTTTCCATGATAACGCAATATGTTGTACTTAATATATAAAAAAGACACTGCCACTACAAAAAAAGGGAGACATGAACTGTATGTTCATGAACAAGAACTAAAACTAAACACTCAGGTTCCCTAAGATAAAATGAGCTTATATATGAAGGAACTGCTATAGATTTAGTAGTAAAAAGAAAAAGAACACATAAAATACTCAGTTACTCTCCCTCATGAATGGACCCTGGGGACTGATATTGAACATCATACCTGAGGTCAGTTTTTAAGCTTAAAAAATAGCAAAATGGGTAATTAGAACAACTTTAAATCATAACCACAGAAACACTGGGAAAATAATACAACTTGTCATCAAATGTGAATTAAGTCAGGAAGCAGTTATCAATAGTATTAATAACACTTTCACTAGCACTAAAAGTTGCCATGAATGACCTGTCATTTCTTAAGATTTCATTTATATTAGACCAATACTCACCAATTCTTTTCTAAGTTGAATAAAAAACTGTTTGCACTTAAACGAAATTTTTACAATCTTCAACCTAGATAAAAAGAAACAGAACTGAAATATTTAAAATACTGAATAAAGACATAAATATTAGCAAATTAAGAAAACAATTATCTTAAAAGATCGATATAATTGATAAACCTCTAGCCAGACTAAGAAAAAAGAGAATACACAAGTACAAATATCAGAAATGAAAGAGTAGACATTACTATAAATCCCACTGATATTAAAAGCATAATGAAAGAATACTATGAACAAGTCTATACCCACAAATTTGATAATTTCAATGAAATGAACATATTTTTTGAAAGACACAATCTGCCAAAATTTACATAGGAAGAGATACTTGATCTAAATGGGCCTATATAGTAGTCCCCTTTCATTTTCAGGGGATAAACTTCAATATCCCAGTGAATGCCTGAAAATGCATATAGTACTGAACCCTACCTCTGAATGATTTCCCCCCCTATACATACTTACTTTTTCACTTAAAGGAAGCAACTTATGGCTTCTTTTTGGCATATCCAAATTGCCAGCATCCCTAAGTTTTGCACTTTGGGCCATTATTAAGTAAAATCAGGGTTACTTGAATGTAAGTACTAAGATCTGATAACTGATAGGGATACTAGGTGACTGATGGGCAGGTATCAAATATGCTGAAAAAAGGATGAGTCACATCACTGGCTGGATGGAGCTGGACAGTTCAAGATTCCATCACCTTACTCAGAACAGCATACAATTTAAAATGCATGAATTGTTTATTTCTGGAATTTTCCATTTAAAATTTTTAGACCATGGATAACTGAAACTGTGGAGAGCAAACTGCAGATAAGAGGGGATTACTGTAGATATTAAAGGAATTTTTAAAAAGCCACCAGGCCCACATGTTTTCACTAGTGAACTGTACCAAACATTTAAATATTATACCAATTCTTTACAATCCCTTTCAGAGTATAGAAGCAGAGGGAATACTTCCAAAGTCATCCTATGATGTCAGAATTATCCTAATACCAAAACTAGACAAAGTCCTTAGAAGAAAACTACAAAACAGTATCTCTTATAACCATAAATTTAAAAATCCTAAATAAAATATTATCATATGAAATCTAACAATTCCAAAGGGGATTTATCCCAGAAATGCAAGGCTTTTTGAAAATCAATTACTATAAACCAATACTTCACAAGACTAAAAGAGAAAAAAATTACATGATCACATCAATACATTCAGAATAAGCATCTGACAAAATCCAATGCCTAGTAATGATTAAAAACCCTCTGTAGAGTAGGAATAGAGGGAAACTTTCTCAACTTTCTATAAAACCCTTGTGCTAACATACTTAATGGTGTGAAACTAATTTTCTATCTAAGATCAGGTAAAATGTAGGGATGTCCCCTTTAACCACTCCTTTTCAATAAGGCAAGAAAAGGAAATGAAAGATACACTGATTGAAAAGGATCACATAAAACTATCTTTGTTCACAGATGACATAATTGTCTATGTAGAACATCCAAAAGAATCAAACAAAAAAACCTCCTGGAACTAATACTGAGTGATGATAGTAAAGTTGCAGGGTACACAGTTAATATACAAAAGTCCACTGCTTTCCTGTATAGCAACAATGACCAAGTGGAATTTGAAATTAAAAACATAATACCATGTACAATAGCACCCCCCAAAATGAAATACTTAAGTATAAATCTAAAAAATATGCACTAGGACCATATGAAGAAAATTATAAAACTCCGATGAACAAAAACGACGAAGATATAAATAAATGCAAATAAATTCCAAGTTCCTGGATAGGTTTGCCAAGATGTCAATTCTGTCCATTTTGATCTATAGATTCAATGCAATCCCAATAAAAATCTCATGAAGTTATTTGTGAATACTGACGAATTGATTCTAAAGTTTATATGGAGAGGCGAAAAATCCAGAATAGTCAACATGTATTATAGGAAAACAACAAAGTTGGAGGAGTGAGGCTACCTGAGTTAAAAACTTACTATAAAGCTATAGTAATCAAAACAGTATAGTATTCGTGAAAGAATAGCCCAAACAGATCAATGTTATAGAATAGAGAACTCAGAAACAGACCTCCATAAATAAAGTCAAACGATCTTTGAGAAAGGGCAAAGGCAATCCCTTCAACAAATGGTGCTGGAACAACTGGACATCCACATGCAAAAACAAAATAAATTTAGACAAAGACCTTATACCCTTCAAAAAAATTAACTCAAAATGGATCAGAGACCTAAACATAAAATGCAAAATTATAAAACTCTTAGATATAACAATGGAAAAAAATCTAGATACTCTTGGGTATAGGGATGCTCTTATAGATATAACACCAAAAACATGATTAATAAAATAATTGAGAAGCTTGAATTTATTAAAATTAAAAAGTTCTGTGTGAAAGGCAATAAATTAGAAAACAAGCCACAGACTAGGAGAAAATATTTGTAAAAGACACATCTGATAAAGGACTATTATCCAAAATATACAAAAAACTCTTCAAATTTAACAATAAAACAAACAACCCAGTAAAAATGAGCCAAAGCACTTAACAGACATCTCACCAAAGAAGATATATAGTTGGCAAATAAGCACATCATATGTCATCAGGGAAATGCAAATTAAAACATTAAGACAGCACTACACACCCGCAGAATGGCCGAAACCCAGAATACTGACAAAATCAAATGCTGACAAGAATACGGAGCAACAGGAACTCTCATTCATTTTGGGGGGAATGCAAAATGGTACAGCCACTTTGGAAGACTATTTGGCAATTTCTTACAAAACTAAACTTACTTGTATCATACCATCTAGAAACTGCACTCCTTGGCATTTAACTAAAGGAATGGGGAACGCATGTCCACACAAAAATCTGTACATGGATGTTAATAGCAAGCAGTTTTATTCATAACTGCCAAAACTTGGAAGGAACAAAATGGCTTTCAGTTGGTGAATGAATGAATGAAAAAACTGTGGTATATCCAGACAATGGGATATTATTCAGCTCTAAAAAGAAATGATGTATCAAACCATAGAAGATATGGATAAAAAGTAAATGCATACCACTTAGTGAAAATGTGTGCAAGTCTGTAAATTCACACTAGAGGCCCGGTGCACAAATTTGTGCATGGGTGGGGTCCAGATGGCTGGCCTGACCAGGGGGAGGGGATGCAGGAGGTTGGCGGGCCAGCCCCACCCCCTGGTCGAACTCCCGGTTGAGGGGACACTTTGCATATTACCCTTTTATTATACAGGATTTGCTTTAATTTCCCTTGGGTAAAACCTTAGGAATAGAATGGCTCAATCATATGATAGCTTTTATGTTTAAATTTTTAAGAAACTACACAACAGTTTTCCAAATTGGTTGGACCATTGTACAAAGCAATACAGTATTAGCTACACTAGCCTTCTTATGAATACTATTTCAATGCATTTACATATTATATCACTTTCATTTCTTTATTTTCAGCCAATCTATATATGTACTCATATCTGCTTCTTTCTTTTCAATCCGTTTGCCTTTTATTTCATATTCTTGACTTAATATGCTTGTTAGGACTTAAGTAACAAAGCTGAAGTAGAGAGAATAAGCATACTTTTCCCTGATTTTACTTACATAAAAAGTATTGACACTTTTACGATTTAGCATAACATTAACAGATTTTTCATAGATATCTTAATCAGGGTGTCCTTTTGTATATACAAAAGTGTATATACACTTTGAATAATTATAAAGGCAGTGTTTATTAGAATATATTTCATCACCTGGCTGGTGTGGCTCAGTTGTCAAGCATCGACCTATGAACAAGAGGGTCAAGGTACGATTCCTGGTTAGGGAACATGCCCAGGTTTTTGGGCTCCATCCTCAGTAGGGTGTGTGTAGGAGGCAGCCGATCAATTATTCTCTCTCATCAATGATGTTTTTTCTCTCTCTCCCTCTTTGAAATAAATGAAAATATATTTTTTAAAAATATTACAAAAATGCATTTTATTTTCAGAATTTGAGCTATCAAAGTATGACACTGTACCACTGAACCACACTGGCCAGGGCTGCTGGATTATTTTTATGAACTCTATCTCCAGCAGTCAACCCTCAGTGTTAAGCTTCTACTGTTGCTTTTCAGGAAGGCATAGCTTTGAATATGCCCATAGTAATCCTAAAATGACAGTGGTACCAGTCATCCCAGTCTTTCAATAAGCACCCAAAGTGTAACACTCCCTTACTTACCCACACTCCTCTACTGTTTTCAATAATGCCCTGGGGCATAAATTCCTTTAGAAACTAAAACTATCAAATTGTAGCTTCCTCAAAGGAACAGTTTATGAGGTAGGTGTTTGAAGCTATTTCCTATCCCATCTTTGTTTTTATCTCTCCTGTTGTCTCTGGGTTTCCCTACAGACTGCTTCTTATGTAGTCTGAGTCTTGCAGTTATTTAAATTTTAATTGTATTATACAGGAACCCTGCTGATGTAGTAAGATGTGGGTTGGAGGAATAATTCTTTAATCCTATGATTAGGTCTCAGTGATTTAGTGGTCTATGACCCTTGACTATGACCTTCAGTGCTTTTCAGCTCACCTTGTTCTTAGGTGACACAAGAACTATGGAGGGAGCCGGATGTGGGGATTTCCCTTCCCCGACTTTGATTAGGCTCTTAGTGATAAAAACCCATGTTGGTTAAGTACTGGTAAAACGGATTTCCTTGAGGGCAGACCTTCATTAAAGAGAAAAGAAAGCTCTGGGCATATTTTAAATGGTTATCTCCTGGCTCAACAGCACCATCACCCCCAACCCTTCCAGAACATGAGTAGATTTTTCTCCAATTTTCACCTTGAGAACCTGGTGAACAACTGATGGTAGAACTTATGAAAACATGGGGGGGCCTTCTTAAGGCTGAGACTTCAGGAGTTTTCATCTCTCAAGCTATCTTTGCTCAGTCTCCAGCAAATAGTCAATTACCCTTTAATTATTTCCTACCAGTTGCTGGCTACAGCAGTGATTTCTTAGTCATAGTAAACTGTCATTCTTTATATTCATCTGTCTCTCCAGTTTTGAGAGATGCAGTATGCCTTGAGTACTTAATTCTCTGAGGGATCTAAAAACAATAGTTGATTTTCATTTTTCCTTGTTTTTTTGTTGTAAGGATAGGAAGGATGACTTCCAAGTTCTTTACCTGCTGGACTGGGAACCACAACTCTCTCCTCCCCATTTTATTTTCTTAATGGTGAGTGTTTTTTAAAAAATATATATATTTCTTTTTAAAAAAGAAATATTTTAATTGATTTCAGAGAGGAAAGGAGAGAAAAGATAGAAACATCAATGATGAGAGAGAATCATTGATCAGCTGCCTCCTGCATGCTCCATGCTGGGGATTGAACCTGCCACCTGGGCATATGCCCTGACTGGAATCAAACCATGACATCCTGGTTCATGTGTTGATGCTCAACCACTGGCCAGGCTTAATGGTGTTGTTTTTTATTAGTATTAATTTTAACGAAGTCTAATTTACAGAATACAAATAACCCCAATTCACTATTAAACATTTTAAAAGTGTGAATTTGAACTAAATAATTCAGGTATAACCATACATGAAAAGATATGAGGGAGCATATTTAGTATGTGGCACACTACTTTTTTTACATGCAGCTCTAATTTTGAGAGAAGTGGTAAGTGAGAAGCTTGTGTTTCGGAATCTGAAAGACCTGGATTTAAAGTTCTACTTCATACTTACCAGTTGTTTAACCTTCGACCAGTCAACTTGTCTGCCAGAGTACACATGATGCTAGCTATTATATTACAGTATAAATTTAGAAATTCCCTAAGAGAAAAATTCATAAAGTAGTATTTCTGAGAAGCTAAGCAATTTTTGAAATAAATTAACACAATTATTTTGGTATCTTCTGGTAGATTCCAAGTAAGTAAAATAAACTTGCATGCCAATATTAATATACTTCGTCACTTTCTTTAATATGAATTATTATATTAGTAATATAAAAAAGCAAAAGTATTAATGGAAGTCCTTACCATGGAAAGGTATTCATTCGTACCCTGTTCTTATAAATCAGAATTCCTCCTGACATCACTCCAATCATAATTTCATTGTTACTTTGATCCTTTAAAAAAGAAAATGACAAATCTAAAATACTGGGATTTATCTGTTAAAAATGTATTTTAAAAACAGAATTTGTTGTTTTTTTTTATACAATGAGACATTTTCAAAGGCACCACATCCTATATAATAAAACCTAATATGCAAATCAACGGAACGGCAGAATGACCGGTCGCTATGACGCACACTGACCACCAGGAGGCAGACGCTCAATGCAGGAGCTGCCCCCTGGTGGTCAGTGCGCTCCCACTGGGGGAGCGCTGCTCAGCCAGAAGCCGGGCTCATGGCTGGCAAGTGCAGTGGCAGTGGCGGGAGCCTCTCCCGCCTCTGGCAGTCGGACATCCCCCGAGGGGTCCCAGACTGCGAGAGGGCACAGGCCGGGCTGAGGGACCCCCGACCCCCCGCGTGCACGAATGTTGTGCACCAGGCCTCTAGTAACTGCATATTTACAAATCCATATGGTAATTCTTACCTCATAAAAATAAATGACATATTTCAAATTAAACTTAAATGTTGCATTATTAAAAGTCATTATGATCTCAGGACTCCGCATAGTTTATAATTTATTTGGGACAGAAAATTAGAATGATGAGTTAGTATCATCCTTCCATTCCTAAAATTCTTATGTTCTAATCACAAACCCAAACAGAAAGCCAAAATGAGGAGACAAATATAATGCTCTGATTGCAAAAAGTGAATTAAAAAAATATGGAGGACTTCAGAGTTTGGTGAATAAAACAGTATTTTTAATATAAGAAAACTCCTATAATTAGTATAATACAATAAAATACATCATAAAATTATAGAGTGAGGAACAATTGAGAGTTTGGAAGAGTCCAAAGAAGAAAATTGAATTGCGCTTTGAGGATTGAGTAAGAGTTTTCATGCTAACTGATCGAACTTGAATAGCTAACCTACATTATCAGAATGAATTGCATTAAACTACTTTTTTTCAGATGCTAATCAACCTCGAAATAGTTTTGCTTTTTGACTTGAAACATTCCATAGATAAACTAAGATAGCAATAATGCTTTTACCTCCTTCTACTCATTTGCTCAAAAAGAATTGCTGAAAATATAAGATTTTATAATTGTCTCCCTAAGAAAACAAAAATATTTAAAATGTAGTTACAATAATTTCAAATTAAATAAAACCATATTAAATTAACCCATTAGGTAGGATAATACATAAAGAGGTCAAACACAACAGTGTATGCTAATTTGTCTGGATGCTCATTTTGTTTATCAATAACCAAAACCACTATATATTATTATCAGAACCTTAAATAATTTTTTAAAGGACATCAATTAGAAGTCAGGACCAAAATAGCAGACTGATCCGAACAGATGGCAGACTTAATATATGCTCCTATTACTTCTTCAGCTCCCCATCGGAGAACATCAGAGAAGATATATGAAAAGGAAAAGAATCTGTAAAACTTGAAAACAATCCATAACACCTGAAGGTATATAATCAAGGCACCAGACATTTTGAGGGAACTGTAAAGACATAAAAAAGATACAATCAGAATACAGAAAACCACAGCTCAAACTACACACACAAGAGCAAGTTCTATGTGGAGGTGGAAAGAGAAGCAAATATAAAAGATAAAGTACAGAGATTAAAAATGGCAGCGGAGTAAGTGGATGCTGCACAGATATGCTCCAAGGAACAAACTGGAATTACAACTAAATTACAGAAAAACTTCCTGAATAATCAACGGAAGACTCGCTGGAGAGAACCCTGATACCTGAGGACCGAAAGTGGAGACCGCATAGAAACTGGTAGGAGTGGCAGAGTGGCAAAAGGGCTGGCCGGGTGCCCACAGACAGCAACTGAAGTTCTAGAGAGCTATCTCAGCTCTGGGGGTTGCCACTGAGAACTCTAGGGTCTAATCCCCGAGCTGGGCCCCCCAGCAGAGAACACCACAACTGAAAAGGGTAACTACATAACATCTGGCTGTGAAAAGCAGCAGGATTGCTGTCTGCCAGGGAGAGACAGCTGGAAATTCAGGCACCCTCTTAAAGGGCCAACACACAAAATTCCCTGTGGAGCCACCTACCTTGTGCTCTTGCAGAGGGAGGGCAGAGTGGACTGAAGCTGTGTGAACTGAAGCCAGGGGCTCAGGAGTTAGAGCTCAGAAGGCAGACACCCTGGTTTCCTGTGCTGAGTCATTCCCTTATGCTGTGGAGGTCATATTTCTCACGCAGGCATTAGGTATACAGGCGACCTTGCCTGTTGGGGAAGACAGCTGATCCACCCCATTGGAAAACACCTTGCCCCACAGTGCAGAATTGCTGAGGCCCAATTAAGAGACTGAGAATAACAATTAGCTTCCAGGCAGAAGCAACTGCCAAACACTGTTGACAAAAACTCTTGCCACACCTGTGGATGATTGATTGAGGACAATTTAAGACAGAATCATATCAGTCTGTAAATAGATATGGTCTCTGGAGGCTTACAGTCTTTGCCTGACCTAATCAGTCAGAAACAGCATTTGACACTGTCCTGCATTAGAGATTGAGAGGCACAGCAGACCAATCTAATAGATAGTCACAAACCCAAACAGAAAGCCAAAATGAGGAGGCAAAGAAACAACCCCCAAATGAAAGAACAAGAGAATTCTGCAGAAGAAGAGATAAATGAAATGGAGATCAGAAATTTATCAGATAAAGAGTTCAGAGTAAGGATGGTAAAGATGCTCAAGAGCATGAGAAAAGATATAGTAACTATGAAAGCAAATAAAGAACAACATAGCACAAATAAAGAAGACATTGGAAGACACAGCTGATTAGGGGAAGCTGAGGATCAAATCAGTGAATTAGAAGATGAGGTTGAAAAAATCACTCAATCAGAGAACCAAAAAGAAAAAAAATGATTGAAAAACAGGAGGACAATTTAAGAGAGCTGTGGGACAAGATGAAATGTAACAGTATTCGAATAGAAGGTGTGCCAGAAGAGGCAGAAAGGGAGAAGGGATAGAAAACTTCCCTAACCTGGTAAAGAAAAAGTCACACAAGTTCAGGAGGCAAGGAGAACCCCAAGCAAGAAGAACCCAAACAGGCTCGTGCCAAGACACATCATAATTAAATTGCCAAAAATTAAAGTCAAAGAAAGAATCTTAAAGGCAGCAAGAGAAAAGCAAACTCTTACCTACAAAGGAGCTCCCATAAGGCTGACACCTGATTTCTCATCAGAAACTCTACAGGCCAGAAGGGAATAGGATGAAGTACTCAAGGTAATGGAAAGCAAAGATCTAAAACCAAGATTACTATTATCCATCAAGGCTACCATTCAAAATAGACAGCCAAATAAAGAGCATCTTGGACACAAAAAGGCTAAAGGCATACATCACCACCAAGCCAACATTACAACAAATGCTAAAGGGAAAGCTGTAATGAGGAGAAGAAGAAACAGAGAGAAAAACCTAGGCATACAGAATTAAACAGAATTAAAATGGCAATGAATAAGTACCTATCAATAATAACCTTAAACGTAAATGGATTAAATTCTCCAATCAAAAGGCAGAGGGTAGCTGAATGGATACAAAAACATGACCCAACTATATGCTGTCTACAAGAGGCCCACCTTGTGTGTCTACAAAAGACACACACAGGATGAGAATGAAAGGATGGAAAAAAATTTTCATTGCAAATGGAAAAGAAAAAAAAGCTGGAGTAGCAATATTTATGCCTGAGAAATTAGACCTCAAGTGAAGGCCATAACAAGAGATAAGGAGGGCTACTTCATAATACTAAAGGGAGTGCATCAACAAGAGGATATAACTCTGATAAACCTATATGCCACAAATATAGGAGCACCCAAATACATTAAAAAAACAACAACAAAAAACTTCTGGAAGATATCAAGGGAGAGATCGACAGCAATACAATCATAGTAGGGGACTTTAATACCCCAATGACACCACTGGATAAATCTTCTAAACAAAAAATCAGCAAAGAAACATCAATCCTAAATGACTCACTAGATCAGATATTCTTAATTGGTATCTTCAGAACACTTCACCCCAAAGCTATGGAATATACATTCTTCTCAAGTGCACATGAACATTTTCAAAGATTGACCACATATTAGGGCACAGGCTAAGTCTCTACAAATTCAAGAAGACTGAAATTATAACAAGAATCTTCTCAGATCACAATGGCATAAAATTAGAAATCAACTACAATAAAACAATTAAAAAGTATCAAACACATGGAGGGTAAATAGCATGCTATTAAACAATGAATGCGTTACCAAAGAGATCAAAGAAGAAATAAAAAACATTCTGGAAACAAATGATAATGAAAACACAGCAATCCAAAATCTATGGGGACATACTGAAAGGAGTCCTGAGAGGGAAGTTCAAAGCTCTACAGGCCTACCTCAAAAAGAAAACAACAACAACAACAACAACAGAAAAACTGGTAATAAGGTATCTAACTCTACAACTTGAACAACTAGAAAACAGCAACAAGAAAAACCCAGTGTAAATAGAAGGGAGATAATAATAATGATCAGAGCGGAAATAAATAACAGAGACAAAAAAAAAAAAATCAATAGAACCAAATGCTGGTTCTTTGAAAGGATAAACAAGATTGATCAACTGTTAGCCAGGCTCACCAAGAAACAAAGAGAGGACCCAAATAAACAAAGTCAGAAATAAAAGATGTGAAGTAACAACTGAGCCCACAGAAATACAAAGGATTGTAAAAAAAAAAAATACTATAAACAACTTTCCTAAAACAAACTGGACAACCTAGATGAAATGGACATATGCCTAGAAAAATACAATCTTCCAAAACTCAATCAGGAAGAATCAGAAAATCTGAATAGGCTGATAACTACCAATGAAATTGAAGCAGTAATCAAAAAACTTCCACCAAACAAAAGCCTAGTGCAGACGGCTTCACGAGGGATTTTTACCAAACATTCACAGAAGAACTAACACCGACCCTCCTCAATCTATTCCAAACAATTCAAAAGGAAGGCACACTTCCAAGC